AGACTTTTTTTTTTTTTTGGTACAAAGAAAGAGGCCGAAGGCCTAATAGAGTTGCAGGTCTAGAACTCGTCGGGGATACGAACCCCAATAATGTCGTGTTCGAGCCAAGGTCCCATACCCAAAGGAGGTGGGGTATTCTTGGTAGACCAATTGGACAGGAGACCGCCATACTCGCTAAGTGGTCAGCTGCAAAGTTCGCGTCTCTATGCACATACTGGATTCTAACATTCCACTGTTGTTGGATCATATTTCAGATGGCCTTTACCAACACGTCGTGGGTTCCAAAAGAACCGTCCGAACTAAACATCATTCTTGTCACGCATTTACTATCCACCTCAGCAATGACCTGACGATACCCTATGTCCCAGGCCAACTGTAATCCCTGAATTAAACCCCAAACTTCTGTCCCCGTAAAGATACAAAAGCCAATGTTCAAAAGAAATCCTTCGATCCATCCTCCCATATCGTTCCGTAATAGGACACCCGCACTATCCAAGCCCGATAAGTTATCAAAAGCCCATCAGACTTTGATCTCAAAAAGGAGATAAATAAAGTTTTCATTTTTCCTGCTAAAGTATTACCCAAAAAAAAAACAAAAAAAAAGGTAATTAGGGATCAAGGCATGCATGGACTTGAAAAGTTACAAAATATTTTTCCCAAAAAATTAGGACAAAAGCACCACAGCATGTGCTTCCACGTATATGCGACAGGCTAAACAAATTGTCAGATTCATATGTTAAATAATATATATAATTTGATTTTCCATCCTAAATATTCAGATAAACAAGCAAACAAGACTTTAAAAAAAAATAATAATAATAATAAATATGCATATTATTATTGGTTTGGGACTGGTCATTTGTCACGAGCATGCAATTATATATGGATCTTTCTAAAAAGAGGAAAGGTCAGCTATATTTTCATTGGTATTGAATAGGACACTTCATATGAAAAGATTTTTCAAGATCTCCTCAAGGTAAAAAAAGGTGAAAAAACCACAATATTTGGCCTTGGACTTGGACAATAAAGTTTTCTCCTTTTTGAATTTCACTAGTGGGTAAATTTAGAAACTTGTATGTTTCAAGTAAAATGCTTTAATACATCAATTTTGTTGGAGATCATACGGTCCCGTTACAGAACCATTTTGTCGGGATTGTAACCGTTAGATCAACTATAATTAGGATAGTTGACAAGATGAGCTCAGATCAGATCAGTTCAAGTGAGATTTCATCCGAAAACCAATTAGTGGTAAAAAGAGTAAAGTTGACTAGACTTATAAGTTAGACCTATTTCCCATATATAAACGATGTGGGACAATCACAAAAGTTATTATATTCTAACATGTGGATTGCTTTGCACAACAGAGTAAATAGTAACTGGTTGTGCTCTCAATAATTTCTTATCATTTGTTTTGACACAAGATATTTTTTCAGGATTCACCTGTTCCCATCATATTTTATGCTTAACACCCTTTGTGTAAAGACTTTTGGATCTCATGGCAATTAATAACTATAGAGATTCTGACAATAGATGTGTAATACTAATACCCATGTACAACATGGGTGTTGAATTAATAAATATATGTGTAAAGTTATTTATGTCTAATACCAAATCTAACTCCAGAGCAAAAATAATATAAAAACAACATCACGAAGCATAGATTTTTGCCATGTCAGCATCCGAAGCGTGAGAATCTGCCACCTAGGCTCAACACGTTTTGAATTAATATATAGGGAGAGATGCTAAGGAGCCAACTGTTGGCTTCGTTACGGAGCCAACAACCAATGGGACAGCTCTATGTGGGGCTGTCCCACATGGCTCCAATGTGGGACAGCCCCACATGGAGCTGTCCTATTGGTTGTTGGCTCCCTAACGGAGCCAACAGCGACTGATGTAATAAATCCTTGCTGCTTCTTGAAGCAATTTATTTTAACCTATAAAACACAGCTGCCACTACACACATGAGAATATAGATGCTGGGTTTCATAATTTCTGTCACAAATTATT